ATACATACAAGGAGTATTAAATATAGACTAAAAAATAACTAATTGCACAGTTTGCGACTAATTTGCGAGATGAATCTTTTAAGCCTAATTAGTCCATAATTTGACAATGTGGTGCTACAATAACACATGTGCTAATGAATGACGGATTAATTAGATTTAATAAATTCGTCTCACGGATTACTGACGGATTCTGTAATTTATGTTTTTATTAGTATCCGAACACCCCATGCGACACCCCATGTAACACCCGATGTGACACCTTAAAACTTTACACCCTGAATTTAAACAAGGCCTATGTTCATTTGCATTCATGCATATGAAAAAGTGGGGAAAATTGAACTTTTGATTAGAAGGCAAAGAGATAGAGGTTTCTCTTAACTTGGTGACTTAGGGTTAGATTATCAGGGAAAGTGCGGTGAATTTAGACATGATCATTACTTATTTTCAAACTTGGGAAACAATTTGCATTAGGAAATGTCGTCGTATTTTCAGTTTTCACGATATCAGCCATCGGGGATGGCAAAGTGAGATGAGAGAGGTGAGGCAAGCTACATGGAGTATCCACGAACGGGATTGGTGGCATGCGATGTACCCGGGTTTAGGCCCTCTTGGAGAAGGTAACACCCTAGTCCTGCTTGTGTGGTCTATTATGGATATGGTGATGATTATAGGGGGTGCATGAGCATGTGAGGGTGTGTGTGGTCTTCCAATGAACCGGGTGTCGCTTGGGGAGTCAGCCGTTCGGGTGACAATTTACAACATGTTCGGTTGGCTGGTTCGTTTCGTTCTTTGGTTAAATGAAAAGTACTCTTGTTGGTTGGTTTGTGTGAGAGAAAATCTTTATTCGACTAGAAATTTACGATCGTTTACGATAATAAGCCACAGCCTAGGGACCGCCCAGTCAAGCCGGGTGGAGAAGTCAAACTGCCCGTCTGGGTGGCTACCTTGTGTTAGATTTGGCCTCCTCAAGGCAGTGAGATTATGTCATTGTCCTGGTCCATCATGGGCTTGGTGAGCCTTCTCTTGTGATTGGGTCTACCTATAAATGGTTCCGCCGACATTAGCCGCCGAGTCCGTCGAGGCTTTAATGTAGGTGCCAGCTCATGAGTCATCAGAGAGACTGTGGCCGGATCGCTAGTCCAAAAACTTAATGTACTCCTGAATTTGAAAAGGTTAGGGCATGTTTAGTTCTAAAAATTTCTCAAAAAGTGCTACAAGAGCTATTATATCGAATTTTGCGATACGTGCGTGAAAACATTAAATATAGACATAAAAAAAACTAATTGTACAGTTTTGTTGGAAATTGCGAGACTTAACGTTTTGACTCTAATTAGTTCATAATTGAACGTTAATTATCAAATAAAAACGAAAACGCCTTCAAAGATAGCCAAATTTCTAAAATTCACGAACTAAACACAGCCTTAGGCCTTGTTTAGATTGTAAGTTTTTTCACTCTCTCCATCACATCAAATCTTTGGACATATACATGGAGTATTAAATGTAGATAAAAAATAATTAATTATACAGTTTGATTATAAATTACGAGACAAATCTTTTGAACCTAGTTAAGCTATGATTAGACAATAATTGTCAAATACAAACAAAAATACTACAGTGTCAAATACTAATTTCTAGCCTCAATCTTATTATTGCTCTATTGATGTCATCTGCAACCTCCTAGTTCACGCCATCGGTTGACAGGTCAGTTTGACAAGACCGGATGCTTGGGATGTCACGCGTCTGCGGCCTCGTTTTTAGTTTCTCCCAAACTCACAACTTTAACACTATAAAAAAAAAAGATTTTTCGTCACATCAAATTTACGGTACATGTATGAAATACTAAAAGTAGACGAAATTAAAAACTAATTGTACAGTTTGGTTGTACTTTGCGAGACGAATATTTTGAGCCTAATTAGTCAACGGTTGAACAATTATTATCAAATACAAACAAAATGTTACAGTGACGTTACGGTACATTTTGCCAACTTTACACATCCAAAGTTTGACAACTAAACAAGACCTGCCTCAGGAAAGTGTGTGCCATAGGTCCACGATGATGGTGCCTCGATTTGGCACAACATTTACTGCAGCAAAGGAGCATGTGTTTCTTTGGTACCAATCTATCCTTAATCAGCATGTTCGGTTGGTTGGTTCGTTTCGTTGCTGGTTCGTGAAGAAGTACTGTTGGCTGGTTTGTGTGAGAGAAAAATACTGTTCCAACTGAAAATTTACGATCATTTACGATAACCCACAGCCAAACGAATAGCCTGTTCGTTTGGGAACAATCGACAGATAAAAAAGGGACAGAGGGAGTACTACGGATGCATGACGATTTAGGGTAGAAGGATGTGCCTGACTCTTCGTCTATAAAGACGAAGCTAGGGGGAAGAAAAAAAAATCATTTTCTCTTTCTTCTTCCTATTGACTTCTCTAACCCGTTCTCCCTCATCGACCCTTAGTGCCTGTTAAGTTCCTAAAATTTTGCAAAATTTTTCAAGATTTTTCATCACATCGAATCTTTAGACGTATGCATAAAGTATTAAATATAAATAAAAAATAAAACTAATTACACAGTTTAGACGAAATTCATGAGACGAATCTTTTAAGCCTAATTAGACTATGATTAGACACTAATTATCAAATAACAACAAAAATGCTATAGTACCGTTTTCTAAAAATATTCGAAACTAAACGAAGACCTTAGGATATAGCCAATGGCTGACGCAGAGGAGGTGAAGGGTTCACCGTGTAGCTCGGAGGTGAACATGTATTTTTTCCTGGAAAGAGCCAATTGCACAACACTTCGCGCTTGGAGTCCAAACGAGTTGGTGCACACGTATTTTTTGTTGCCACCAGGGAACCATCCAAAACATGATGGCCTGCAGGCTTTTGTTCCATTTTCGTGAAATAAGTATATCTCAGAAAGAATCAGATGTTTGATTTTTTTTTTATCTGCAGGGTTGTCCCGGATGATGAACTATAAGGATGAGCAATATCTAACACTGGTGGCTGAGATCATTAGAGCAGCAGTCGTCCACTGTACAATGAGTGACTGTAAGTACCTCTTTGGTTAGCCTGGTGATTACGCCACAATTCTACATCATATATCTTAACAAAGTTTCTGCACAATGTATTTAATTTTGTAAATGAAACCGTCCAAATTTATAGCAGAGACTATAAGAAGCCAAAAAAGAAAAACTTACTACTTTCATGAAGAAGAAAAAAGCATGGACTCGGTATTATGAAATTCTCTAAACTAATTGGACCTACCATCTTGATTCGGTACACATTAGTGAATCATGAGAAGTTATCCTCTTAGTCTTCAGTGTTTATTCTGGAACAGCTAGTGCTAGGGGGCATTCTTATATGGGATTCCTACAATAGTTATGTCATTTATCTGAATATAGTAGAAATGCTCATTTTGCTTTGTGAAACATAGTTGGTGAGAGCTACCACATTCTGCTGCGGGCGCTAGAGTGTTATACTTTTGTAAGATCTATCCTGTTAAGCTTGATCATTTCGTGGCTTATAAAGTCGATCGATCTTTGTTTTGTTGTGAGAGAAAAACACTATATCATGACTGATAAGCATGACGGATACGATCAAGCGAACAGGGTGATATGGTGTTATGCTAATAGGCTTCTCAGTTCTACTGTTGATCGAACTCTCACAACTCTTGGATTAAACACTGGTTGCAGCCATTCTTCATTAAACCGCATATTGTCATCGCATTAAATGTTCAAACCAAAATGTTGTTAAAGAAAATAATCTGCAAAGTGAAAAAAAAACAGTTCATAAAACTACCACATGTATCAGTGTTCTGTAGTGTAACAGCAGTTTCCTTAATTTGAATCCATTGAAGTAACCGTATTTTTATCTGAACTACATCCGCGACTACCTCAACTACAAGTTCACGTTGCAGACGGGTCCATGATCGGTGTCATTAACCACCATTCACTTGGACATAATGACCCTGGAACAGAAAAGGGCTATAGCCTATTCGCTTGCTCGTATATGATCGTGGATTATAAGCTGGAACAGTATTTTTCTCTCACACCAAACCAGCCAGCAGTAAATAATCCACGATCGTTTACGCCCTGCCGAATAGGCTGAAGGTAGGGGACTCCGCTGCTTCCTAATGGCTCCAAATCTCTGGAAAGCTGATCTTCACGGGTGGCTTGTCAATCCGATTAGATCTCCGCACCGAGAAACATTCATCCGGTGAAAACCTCTTCTGCTCAACAAGCTCCTTCCGAACCAAGACTAGCTGGCCGGATCTAGGATTGCTTGATGTAGACAGAACCCTAGGCTCAACTAGCGGCGGTGGGGAGTCGATGGCCCAAAGCTGGCCAAAAAACTCGAGGATGACTTCGTCCTCCCCAACCACCGATGAGTCCAATCGAGACCTGTGGCCCTGTTCGGCTTGCTCAAACTTAGCTGAAAATACTGTTGTCTGAATTGTCGTGAGAGAAAAATATTATTCTGGCTGAAAAAACAAGCTGAATAGTGCGGATTACAAGGTACAGGCCAGGTACGGGCCAGCCTTACATACAAGGTACGGGCCAGCCTTACGAACGATCTCTCCCTTCTCGCTGATTGGTGGGTGGGTGCTCTCCTCTGGCGTGTGGAACCTTTCGCGCGATGGGGCTTTGCGGTCAGCCAGGGTGGGTGCGGCCATGGAGGTGGGTCAAGGTCGGGGTCCTGTCACGACGTGGGAGCCATTGCCTTGTTAAATTTGTTTGGGGGGCAGGGGCGCCTGGGTGGGTTACCGAAGCAGGACGCTTCATCATGAAAATACACTACTGTGGCTAACCACGGATCACAGTGGAGGCAATTAAGCAGAAATGGGCGCTAGTTATAAGAGTGCAGTACATTTGACAAATAAAACCCATTTAGCACACAAGTTAAGCAGAACAGAACCCATTTACAACACAAAGTCAGGCAGCCCACTAACTATAGAGGTACACAATTTTCGGAAATAAAAAGAGAAATGACACACTTCAGGAAGAGGGTCGTGGTTCCTCCAGCTTCACAACAGGTTTGTTTGGGTGCTTGGCCAACTGTGTCTGAAGTTTTAGCTTTAGTGTTTCGGCGTTGGAACTGTTAAGTAGCAAGACTTGCTTGAGTTCTCCTAGATTCTCCAGGCCAGAGAACTGGTATGACGGTGACCCACCGCAGCAGTCTACCTCGAGAAGCTCAAGTTTCTCCATTGTGCTTGACCCAAAAGTCACGTGTAGGTTGCTGGAGCTGCAACCACAAGCAATCTGGAGGACCTTGACGTTTCGATAAGAATCGTCCTCCACATTATTCACAACAACGCGAAAACTGAGCTCTCTATCTTGGAGCTGCTTGACACGAAGAATAGATAGTTGTGGTAGCTCGCCAAGGAACTTCACGTCGATTCCTGTTAAAGTGTCCATCTCTAAATCCAGCTTTGCGAGCTTGCTAAGCTGGTTGCTCCCCCCATTTTGGCAATGATTCTTCAAGCCCGTGCAGCTTAAGGCTCTTTAGGTTCTTGCATGGCAGAGAAATCATGTCCTCCAACTCCAAGCAACCTTGATTATGGTCCTTTTTGAAGCAACAACCCTGATTATTGTTCTTGTTGATCAGCACTGTCAAGGACTCCAGATGCACATGATCCTTTATTGCAGAGAAAAAATATTTACCGTTCTTTTTTGTTGATGCCACACACTCCAAGCTTCCGAAGTTGGGTCAGCTTCTTCAGATCTTTCACAAAGGTCTTTGACCCTGAAGCAGCAACATCGACGACACCAAGTGTGTGCAACATCGTCAGGTTTCCAATCCCTCTAGGAACCTCAACACCGACTAGGACACCAGGTTTGCAGAACCAGCTGGATGAAATATGTGGTGGTGGTGCTGAAACCGGTACATCAGTGGTGCCGGCACGTATATACTGCAGCTTCTCTAACTTTCTGATATTCTCTGGCAGGGTAACTATGGAGGTGTGTCGGACATCCAAACTCTGGAGCTGTCTCAGATGATGCAGTGAACTTGGTAGACGGTGGATCTCACGGCGTCCTCGCAGTGAGAGGAACTTTAGGCGACGCAGCCATTTCACCATATTCTCTAGATCTTGGTGCTCAACACGGCCGGTTGCATCCTCCAGATCAAGCACCCTCAGCAGTTTCATGCTTTCAGAAATGAAGAATGATTTCCAGCTGCCAAATACTGTAAGCGACCGTAGCCGCGAGAAGTCAATGCTCTTGAACACAATACTGTCTCTGTCCCAATCTTTCAATATGACAAGATGACGCCCGGTCCGTTGGGTGGTTAGGGTGCAATTACAGCCGAGTTCAAAGACAAGGTTCTCTTCCATTCTCCGTTCGACAATGTACTCACGAATAAAGCCATTCACTTGGCACAAGACCATCCTCATGTCCGCTACTGCAGTATTTTCTTGTGACTGTTGGACTATGCTCAGATCAAGCAGTTCAGAGAACTGCTTCTCCCCATTGTGCTCTGCAGATTCTTCATCGTTATCCCTTGAGTATCCCTCTGCGATCCACCGCCTCACTAGTCTCCTTCGACGGACGACGTGCTCTCGAGGGAAAATCGACAGGTAGAAGATACATGGTTTGAGGAATCGAGACAAGTACGGAAGTAATTATGCATCCAGGTAAACAGACCATGTAGAGTATCAAACACTCGGTTGTTTTCGAGGTCATTCATGAAATTACCATTGATAGAACGTGCACCTTCCATCCGTCCAGCTGACTTGGTGGCCAATGATCTGGCTATATCAACTATTACTTTGGGCAGTCCACCACACTTCGATATTAGTTCTCCTAGCTCCGCAGCTTCATTGCCAGTTATAGCAGGTAATTCATACTTTCTAGACAACTGTTCAAGACAATTATGATTACGTCAGATAGGATGCATGCTTAAACACAAATTACACAGATTCACGCACTCGAAGATAGTTTTAAAAAATCAGTAGAACAGAGAACCCTGAAATCCTTTGCTGCTAGGTAGTGTTGACTGTTGAGTCCGTTGTTATTGTTTTATTATTTTGTTTTTCATAATTATTAGGGACATTCTACCTTGCAAGGATTCTTGGAAACTAATTTGGAATGAGCTCGAAGGAGTCCATGAAAACAAAGGAAAGTGATTTCTTACGAGAACAACATAAACACACCTCCTTTTGAAGAGTTCAAAGGCTGCATCAGCTTGTAGACCTTTGACATTAAACACGAGCTCTCCTTATTTCCCCGGCAACCTCTGGCGACACCAGCTTCAGTGGTAATGATGATGATACAGTTTTGAGAAGACCCAGATACCAATTCAGCTTGTATCATGTCCCATTCTTTCACGGACTGCAGACCATCAATGACGACGAGGCATTTGCACCGCTCCAGAATCCCACGACACTCTGCGATGGGGTTATTGCTTCCCACTGTATCAATATCACAGTCCATGTGGGCTTGAAGCTTATGGGAGTGAAAATTCAAAAGTAAACTCCGAGAGAAATCCCTCAAATTGAACGGATAGGATACATCCACCCAAGCATACTTTTCAAATTGGGTCTTCTTGAGTCGCTCATGGAGTTTGCTATCACGAAGAATTGTGTCGCAGAACAAAAATTTGAGGAGAGCAGATTTCCCAACACCAGCTATGCCCCACACGGACATAACATGGAACCCTTCAAAACGTGCCTTCGATGTATATTGGCGGAGATGAATCATTTCTGAATCGCGTCCAATGAGGGGATGCTCCGTCATCCAATCTTGGGCTTCTTTAATTTTATCAGTGGTCGTCTGCGCACCTTTCGCTCCTTGAGATATCTGAAAATAAGAACCAAAGCGGTCAGAGTGGAAACTATCAAACAAGTTGGGAACTTATGTTGGAGTAATACTTTGTTGTAGAGGTGAGAAGATCGATAGAAATCTTCTTTCCTAAAGAGGAATATTATATATACGTCTATCGTGACATGGATAACGGTGAAAGTGACACAAGTTTTTCTTGCCATGACCACTTTGCTTGAGACATGGATTGCCTCAGTACTGCTAGCGGGGCGGCTAACTGTGGTCGTCACTCGTCATCTCTTTCAGTTGGTTAACGTTCTTCTACTGGAGGTTGGCATACTTATGATACTATTTGCCCTTCTGGATTAAAGAAGAGTTATAATTTCTCTATGTAAAAACAGAACTTATGATACTGTGGCCATACTTATCATATGCCGATCAAGAAACCAAACCAATCAGTTAGATTCAGATCCTGATCCACCAAATGGTTTGGCTGTCTTGATTATTATTTAGGGAATGGTGGTACCTGCTTTTGTGGGCTCACGCCATTAGAGATGACCTTTTTTTTGAATCAAAATCATATAATTAATGAAGTCTTTTATTTTGCGGAAGAATCCTATATAACTAAATAGTGACCAGAGGCGAGGGTACTTCCCCTTTTTGAAAAAAAAACTAAATAGTGACATAACAAGACTAGATTGATTGTGCTTATTAATTGCTACAAGGGAAACCTTCAATTTTCTGTTTCGGACTAGATTTATAATTATGGAGTATAACAAGACAAAGTATTAATCAAGGATTTTTTTTTTTTTGCGCGAAATTAATCAAGGAATTGAACGCCTGCATTGTTGATTGTGCTTATTAATTGGCGAGTAGCTGAAATTACCTGTTTGTAGAAGGCGTAAATGGTGTGGTCGACCGAAAACTGGTTAAGTTCCAATACATGGTAAGGATGTCCGACGGACAAGCTTGCAACTTCGGATTGCTGCTGCGTGGAGACGATGATGCAACTGCGATTCTTCCTTGAAGGAAAAAACTTGGTGATAGCATCCCAGTCTGCCATGCTGGACAGACCTTCCAAGACAACGAGGCACCTGTCGTTGCTGACTCGCCGCACAAACTCGTCGAGGTAATTGCTTTGGGTGGCTTCCGACGTCCTCTTCAGGACATCTACGCCTATGAGTTCTCCTTCTTGTTCCTTGCCCGCGTTTGCATAGAACTGAACCATCAAGCACCGGACGAACACATCGGGATCAAAAGGATGCATGAGCTTCACCCAAGCACGGCAGGTGCATTTCTGGCGGATTTCTTGATCATTGTATGCCTTCCAGATGATGGAAGTGACACCAAGATCGCCACCAGTACCCCACACAGAGATCACACGGATCTTGTCATCGGCGAGCAGCTGGCTGAGATCTCCTTGCTGCTGCCTTTTCCCGGTACCGATGAGCATGCTGACCGCTGCTGTTGCGGGCGGCGGCTGCTGCTGCTGCACGACGACGGGCTTAGAACCGGTGTCGCTGATGAGGCTGTAGCGGGCGTTCCTGGTGCTCACGTCCTCCACCCTCGCCTTGAGCTGCTCAATCTCGTCCACCGCCTCATCCAGCGGCAGTGACGTTGATATGCACCCGGGGATCATTCGCCACCAACAGCTGCTCTTCTTGTCGAGGTGGACGACGAACTCGATGCAATCTTCGACGTCGTAGGCCAGTTCGCGGATCTGCCTCACCCATGTCATCACCACCGGGTTCTCCACACGCTCCGTGTTGGCCACCTTCAGGAAGGACTGCATCATTTGGAACTCCCCGGTGATGAACACAAGGTCACGCTGCGCGCTGTCACGCAGCTTCGCCTCCTCCGCGATCGCCGCCTGGGCCTTGCTCAGTGTCCCCTCGACCACCGATTTGGCTAAACCAACAGCAAGCTCCGCCATGGCTACCTCCGCTTTTCCTCTTAGGACCCGCTTCCGAATCAATCTGGTTAATTGGGGTGTGTGTTTTTCTTGTCTAGCTAGCGAGTGCTGGAGTGAGCATCCACTGCAGACTGCACATGGGATTCTTACAGGTAGGGATGAAAACGGATGGGATACGAACGGATATCACTGATATTATATTTGTTTTCATATTTCTAGTCGGATTTGGATTCGAATACGGATAGTATCAGCCGTGCCAGATAGGGTACGATTAGATGTCGACATCATAAATATGCGATTTGAGTATTCGGATACGGATACGGTATCGGATGTTGAATATCCGGACTCGGATATGGACAGATCTGAACCCCTCTAAACGGATTCGGACTCGAATACGGTCGAAAAATATCCGTACCGTTTTCACCCCTACTTACAAGTAGGTAGTCAAAGAAATCAATGAGTAAAATTAAAATAGTTTTTCAAGGGGAGAGAGGACGCGTCGTTCGTGGCTTTTTTCTACGGGGCCGTGCGTGCATGAGGTACAGCTGCCATGCCATCAATCCATGCTTCCTCCTCTCAACCAATTAGAATGAAGCACAATGATGCACCTCCCTCCAATCAACCAATCAAGTTGAAGCACACGGACTGTGTGTTTCTTTGGTTGTGGCGTGTGCAGATCTGAACGTTGATTGAGGGCGGTTAAGGTGCGTTTAGTTCGCGAAATGAAAATTTTTGGATGTCACATTGGATGTTTCGAGAATTTTGAAGGGTTTTCGGATACTAATAAAAAAATAATTATATAGCTCGTCTGAAAACTACGAGATAAATTTATTAAGCCTAATTAATTTATCATTAACGCATGTTAGTTACTGTATCACTTATGGCTCATCATGGACTAATTAGTCTTAAAACATTCATCTCGCGATTTCCAATTCAACTATGCAATTAGTTTTTTTCATCTATATTTAATACTCCATACATGTGCCGCAAGATTTAATATGATAGTTTGGTGTGAAAATTTTTGAGAACTAAGTCCATCTTCGTCCCATGGGATTCTGGTATATATTAAGGGCATTTTGGTTCCATGTACAAAAATGCCCAGTCCGAGGCGCATCTTCAATTATTTATGTACAGATCGATCCAAAGACTTAGCTGGCGCATCTCGATCCGTATATGTGTGCACCGGCAGCAAGCTTGGAAACCATTCATCTAAGAGCCTCTGAAGTGTTCGTTCTTCCCAACCAGGATCCTTAATTCAAGTCTAAATCCCTGGCAAGGTTAGTAATTCTAACTAATATACGGTAGTTTTTTTCAGACGCTCGTGCCTGTATTTTTTGTGTGTACACCGGCAGCAAAGCTGGGAAAAATCATCCCAGAGGATCAGCCCCTTTTCCATTCTTCTCTTCCCACTTAACAGAAGCTTGCTATCTAACAATCATGCCTGTCTTTCGCTTATCTTTATGCATATTCTCGCCTCTTGCTTTGGAGAATGATGAGCTAATTGTAGCAGTTTTCGTAGCTTGTACCTGCAACTAGCTCACAGCTTAATTAACACTTATCAGAAAATGGCAACTATTGATAGCCTTCGGGGCAAGGAACTGCCCTTCGACTTCTTGGAGAAAATTACGGACGATTTCTCCGAAGAGCGAGTACTTGGTTCAGGTCCACTTAGAACAACGGTTTATAAGGTATAATTCTGCATGCCGGCCATGTACAATGGGGAGTGCTTAGAGAGGTGCTTACAAAATAAACCAGGCTTTTTCTTAAGCACCAATGCTTATTTCAATAGGAGAGGTGCCTAGTTAAGCATCTTTCTTGTATAAATAAGCAATAGTGCTTAACCAAAAACTTTATTTTTTCTAAACATCTCACTAAGCACCTTGCATTGTAGATGCCCTTAGTAGCATTCCTTGTCTGTTCAAAGGTTAATAAACCAAATGGCGCTGTAAATCAAAACAGGCAGTCCTGGAAGATGGCGAGATTGCTGTGAAGAGACATGTGGGGAACGCGCCAGGGACACGTAACAAGGAAGCGTACCGTACTAACGTTCACAGTATTATGAAGCACAGACATGAAAATGTAGTGGAGTTGCTTGCATTCTGCCTCGAGGAACAATATGACGCATTGGTGTGGGTTGGTAACAGATATGTTACCAAAGACGTCGTTGTCGAAAGTTTATTCTGCTATGAATATTTTCCCAATGGAAGCCTGCATCACAGCCTTTTTGGTATGTGCTCAAAGTTTCTCTTATAGTTTCTCTTATAGTTTCTCTTAAGAGTGCTCAAAGTGCACCCATGGATAGTCCCTCAACTTGTGCATAGGTGTAGATCCATGCACAAATAGCCCCGAAAATCCACTTTGGCTCACAAATAGCACCCAGGCACAAATAGCCCCGAAAATCCACTTTGGCTCATAGGTGTAGATGCACCCATTGCCTAAAAATCCTATTTGAAAATTTATAAAAATTCTGAAAAAAAAATCCGGGTGAACATCTAGACATTATATGTTTGCACACAAAGTTTCGCAAAAAATGACATGTTTTGTGGCCTGTGTAAAAAAGAAAATTCACAAAAAATGTTTTTTTCACTTAAAACTTTGTTTGCGAACATAGAATGTTCGGATGCACACCTAGGAATCTTTTTCCCGGAAATTTTTGACATTTTAAAATGCATTTTTCATAATAGGTGCATCTAGACCTATGAGGCAAAACACCACGTCCAAATAGCCCCATAAACTTACCGTGTTCCCTGCCATCCTCGCTAAGTTAGTAAAGCTCTTTCCCCGGCATCTCCTGGGATGATATGCAATTGTTTTTTCTTGTTACTAAAGTTTATGTTTTATTGACATCTTGTGTGGCGTATATACTTATATTCTAAGAAACAAATATCCTACCGGAAGTGATTCTCTTAGAGAAATTATGTAATTCAAGTATTTACTTTTTCAGTTGAAAAGGTCAACATAGATTGGAGCACTCGTTTCAAAATTATCCAAGGCATCTGTCAGGGTCTAAAGTTTCTACATACGCTGCCTCAGCCCATTATCCATTTGAATCTCAAGCCTCAAAATATAATGTTGGGCCGCAATATGGCCCCGAAGATTGCGGATTTTGGATACTCCAGAATCGTTAATCCAGAACAATCCCGAATCAACACAGAAAGTTCTGTGGGATCAGTGTAAGCTACTCACTAACTTTATGATGGTCTCAGATTATTGCTTCATTAATAAAGATGTACATAAGTTTTTTTGGCACATCCATTAATGCTTATGGTACTCCACATGTTAATGTCATTCAGAGGATACATGGCTCCAGAGTATCTATTCAAGGAAGTAAATGAAATCTCGACCCGGTTTGACATATATAGTTTGGGACTAATCATAATCGAGATCACCACAAGAGAGGAGAATTGTGCCGGCATTGACCAAGATTCTGCAAGGGAATTTATTAATAAAGTAAGTGGAAATGTCACTCGAATTTGTGAAGATTTCAATTTAGAAAGATTCATTTAGATCTGTTTTTTACATTGTCATCAAAGCGCATTAATCAGTACCTCCAACATTGTACGCAGGTGAGAAAAAATTGTAAAGATACAGTTCTCATGATGTCAGAATACCAAGGATTAGACGAAGCTCATCTCCAGCAACAAATCGCTTGCATCAAAGTTGGTCTACGATGTGTGGACCTTGATCAGAATGTGAGACCTAAAATAGTAGACATTGTCAACGAGCTCAATGCACTGTGGTAGACAGTTCTCCAATGTCTGGCGATCACCAAGTTTTGAAGGAGAGATATCGAAGATGAAAAAGAAAAAGCTTTGGCCAGCACCAAGCTAATTGCTACATGACCTAAACTTTATTTTGGGAATAAGATCCTTTGACGCCATATCGTTGCTGAAACATTTGAAGTTATATATTTTCTTTGGAACTCTATTATATGTAATCGTTCGAGCTGCAACAATTTATATATTTACTTTGGACTATTTTTTTCTCTCATGTACGTACATGTTAGATAGAAATAAGAGCATCCGCATGACCGCGTCCCACCGCCTATTAATCCTGTGCTATAGTGGATAAATCTTTTTCTATCCTTAGCACCCAAGTGCATAATCTAGTATTAGAGTCGGCTGTTGGACTTGGTTTTCGCTGAAAAGTATAAACCGACCAAGGATTCGTCACCTGTTATGGTTATAGATTGAAAACTGCATCTGAACAAAATCTAGCTGCACTAATAACATACTGGAGTACGATTAAAATGTAAACCAACTCCACCGAGCTCTCAGTCGGTTTTAATTCAGAATTGATGTGAACGTTGTAATCTCGCAGTTGGTTTTGCACTAGAAACCGACGATGGGTGCTCGCTGGTTCATCTTCTTAGTTCTTCTTCCCCTCTAGCTTCGCAACCTTGAGCTGATCATCTCCCGTCTTCTGGTCGCCAGCTCCGTTGACTTGGACTGGTTGCTGCTTCTTTAGCTCTCCATCTCCGGCTTTCGCCGGCGGTGAGGCCATCATCGTGGTCGCTGCTTCCGGAGAAGCACCGAAAGGCCGGGCGGGGCTGCCGATCCCGAGCTGAGCCATCGCTTGCTGGTTGTTCTGAATGTTCGAGTTAGGCCTGCGTGAGTGAAGCTAGTGCTGCTGATGCAGGGGTATCAGTAGTTTACTAGTCTATCAACCCGTAAGTATTAGGTATTGTTTAATAATCTTTTCGTTTTAAATTATAAGACGTTGATATATTGTTTTACTATGTATCTAGATAAGATCTAAGTGTATAACAAAACTTATATATTTATTAGAAAACCTAAGACGTCTTATAATTTGTAACAGATGGAGTATATCTAATTAATAAAGAATTACTTATATTAAACTGTATGTTTTTTTCTCTTTGTTTATTTTCTAACTTAATATACATAGTAGATACTCAATAGTCTTATCTAGTTATCATAAACTTATTAACTACTATTTTTTCAAGGAACTAATCTATATATATTTTTTAACCATATTCATATTTTCCTCTGCATGGCACCTCT